GCGCCATTAGATCCAGTAGCTGGTACGGAAGTGCCAGTTGTTGCTCCAGGCGCTCCAGATGGGCCATTAGATCCAGTAGCTGGTACGGCAGAGCCAGTTGTTGCTCCAGGTGCTCCAGATGGGCCATTAGAGCCGGTAGCTGGTACGGCAGAGCCAGCTGAAGCTCCAGGTCCTCCAGATGGACCATTAGATCCAGTAGCTGGTACGGCAGAACCAGTTGTTGCTCCAGGTGCTCCAGTTGGGCCATTAGATCCAGTAGCTGGTACGGTAGAGCCAGATGATGCTCCAGGTCCTCCAGTTGGGCCATTAGATCCAGTAGCTGTTACGACAGAGCCAGTTGTTGCTCCAGGTCCTCCAGATGGGACATTAGATCCGGTAGCTGGTAAGGCAGAGCCAGTTGTTGCTCCAGGTGCTCCAGATGGGCCATTAGATCCAGTAGCAGGTACGGCAGAGCCAGATGATGCTCCAGGTCTTCCAGATGGGCCATTAGATCCGGTAGCTGGTACGACAGAGCCAGATGATGCTACAGGTCCTCCAGATGGGCCATTAGATCCGTTACCTGGTACGGCAGAGCCGGTTGTTGCTCCGGGTCCTCCAGATGGGCCATTAGATCCAGTAGCTGGTATGGCAGAGCCAGTTGTTGCTCCAGGTGCTCCAGATGGGCCATTAGAGCCGGTAGCTGGTACGGCAGAGCCAGCTGAAGCTCCAGGTCCTCCAGATGGACCATTAGATCCAGTAGCTGGTACGGCAGAGCCAGTTGTTGCTCCAGGTGCTCCAGTTGGGCCATTAGATCCAGTAGCTGGTACGGTAGAGCCAGATGATGCTCCAGGTCCTCCAGTTGGGCCATTAGATCCAGTAGCTGTTACGACAGAGCCAGTTGTTGCTCCAGGTCCTCCAGATGGGACATTAGATCCGGTAGCTGCTAAGGCAGAGCCAGTTGTTGCTCCAGGTGCTCCAGATGGGCCATTAGATCCAGTAGCAGGTACGGCAGAGCCAGATGATGCTCCAGGTCTTCCAGATGGGCCATTAGATCCGGTAGCTGGTACGGCAGAGCCAGATGATGCTACAGGTCCTCCAGATGGGCCATTAGATCTGGTACCTGGTACGGCAGAGCCGGTTGTTGCTCCGGGTCCTCCAGATGGGCCATTAGATCCAGTAGCTGGTACGGCAGAGCCAGTTGTTGCTCCAGGTGCTCCAGTTGGGCCATTAGATCCAGTAGCTGGTACGGTAGAGCCAGATGATGCTCCAGGTCCTCCAGTTGGGCCATTAGATCCAGTAGCTGTTACGACAGAGCCAGTTGTTGCTCCAGGTCCTCCAGATGGGACATTAGATCCGGTAGCTGGTAAGGCAGAGCCAGTTGTTGCTCCAGGTGCTCCAGATGGGCCATTAGATCCAGTAGCAGGTACGGCAGAGCCAGATGATGCTCCAGGTCTTCCAGATGGGCCATTAGATCCGGTAGCTGGTACGGCAGAGCCAGATGATGCTCCAGGTCCTCCAGATGGGCCATTAGATCCGGTACCTGGTACGGCAGAGCCGGTTGTTGCTCCGGGTCCTCCAGATGGGCCATTAGATCCAGTAGCTGGTACGGCAGAGCCAGTTGTTGCTCCAGGTGCTCCAGATGGGCCATTAGATCCGGTAGCTGGGACAGCAGAGCCACTTGAAATTCCAGGTCCTCTAGATGGGCCATTAGATCCAGTAGCTGGTACGGCAGAGCCAGTTGTTGCTCCAGGTGCTCCAGATGGGCCATTAGATCCAGTAGCTGGTACGGCAGAGCCAGATGAAGCTCCAGGTCCTCCAGTTGGGCCATTAGATCCAGTAGCTGTTACGACAGAACCAGTTGTTGCTCCAGGTGCTCCAGATGGGCCATTAGATCCGGTAGCTGGTACGGCAGAGCCAGTTGAAGCTCCAGGTCCTCTAGATGGGCCATTAGATCCGGTAGCTGGTACGGCAGAGCCAGTTGTTGCTCCAGGTGCTCCAGATGGGCCATTAGATCTAGTAGCAGGTACGGCAGAGCCAGATGATGCTCCAGGTCCTCCAGTTGGGCCATTAGATCCAGTAGCTGTTACGACAGAGCCAGATGATGCTCCAGGTCTTCCAGATGGGCCATTAGATCCGGTAGCTGGTACGGGAGAGCCGGTTGTTGCTCCAGGTCCTCCAGATGGGCCATTAGATCCAGTAGCTGGTACGGCAGAGCCAGATGAAACTCCAGGTCCTCCAGTTGGGCCATTAGATCCAGTAGCTGTTACGACAGAGCCAGTTGTTGCTCCAGGTGCTCCAGATGGGCCATTAGATCCGGTAGCTGGTACGGCAGAGCCAGTTGTTGCTCCAGGTGCTCCAGATGGGCCATTAGAGCCGGTAGCTGGTACGGCAGAGCCAGCTGAAGCTCCAGGTCCTCCAGATGGACCATTAGATCCAGTAGCTGGTACGGCAGAGCCAGTTGTTGCTCCAGGTGCTCCATTTGGGCCATTCGATCCAGTAGCTGGTACGGTAGAGCCAGATGATGCTCCAGGTACTCCAGTTGGGCCATTAGATCCAGTAGCTGTTACTACAGAGCCAGTTGTTGCTCCAGGTCCTCCAGATGGGACATTAGATCCGGTAGCTGATAAGGCAGAGCCAGTTGTTGCTCCAGGTGCTCCAGATGGGCCATTAGATCCAGTAGCAGGTACGGCAGAGCCAGATGATGCTCCGGGTCCTCCAGATGGGCCATTAGATCCCGTAGCTGCTATGGCAGCGCCAGTTGATGCTCCAGGTCCTCCAGATGGGCCAATAGATCCAGTAGCTGGAACGGCAGAGCCAGTTGTTGCTCCAGGCGCTCTAGATGGGCCATTAGAACCAGTAGCTGGTACGGCAGAGCCAGTTGTTGCTCCAGGTGCTCCAGATGGGCCATTAGATCCAGTAGCTGGTACGGCAGAGCCAGATGAAGCTCCAGGTCCTCCAGTTGGGCCATTAGATCCAGTAGCTGTTACGACAGAGCCAGTTGTTGCTCCAGGTGCTCCAGATGGGCCATTAGATCCGGTAGCTGGTACGGCAGAGCCAGTTGAAGCTCCAGGTCCTCTAGATGGGCCATTAGATCCAGTAGCTGGTACGGCAGAGCCAGTTGTTGCTCCAGGTGCTCCAGATGGGCCATTAGATCCAGTAGCTGGTACGGCAGAACCAGATGATGCTCCATGTCCTCCAGTTGGGCCATTAGATCCAGTAGCTGTTACGACAGAGCCAGATGATGCTCCAGGTCTTCCAGATGGGCCATTAGACCAGGTAGCTGGTACGGCAGAGCCAGATGCTGCTCCAGGTCCTCCAGATGGGCTATTAGATCCGGTAGCTGGTACGGCAGAGCCGGTTGTTGCTCCAGGTCCTCCAGATGGGCCATTAGATCCCGTAGCTGGTATGGCAGAGCCATTTGATAATCCAGGTCCTCCAGATGCGCCATTAGATCCAGTAGCTGGTACGGCAGAGCCAGTTGTTGCTCCAGGCGCTCCAGATGGGCCATTAGATCCAGTAGCTGGTACAGCAGAGCCAGTTGTTGCTCCAGGTGCTCCAGATGGACCCTTAGAGCCGGTAGCTGGTACGGCAGAGCCAGCTGAAGCTCCAGGTCCTCCAGATGGGCCATTAGATCCAGTAGCTTGTACGGCAGAGCCAGTTGTTGCTCCAGGTGCTCCAGTTGGGCCATTAGATCCAGTAGCTGGTACGGTAGAGCCAGATGATGCTCCAGGTCCTCCAGTTGGGCCATTAGATCCAGTAGCTGGTATGGCAGAGCCAGTTGTTGCTCCAGGTGCTCCAGATGGGCCATTAGATCCGATTGCTGGTACGGCTGTGCCAGATGATGCTCCAGGTCCTCCAGATGGGCCATTAGATCCGGTAGCTGGTACGGCAGGGCCAGTTGTTGCTCCAGGTCCTCCAGATGAGCCATTAGATCCGGTAGCTGGTAATGGAGAGCCAGTTGATGCTCCAGGTCCTCCAGATGGTCCACTAGATCCAGTTGCTGGTAGGGCAGAGCCAGTCGTTGCTGCAGATCCTCCAGATGGTCCACTAGATCCAGTAGCTGGTACGGCTGATCCATTCGTTGCTGCAGGCCTTCCAGATGGTCCACTGGATCCAGTGCCTAATACAGAGGAGCCAGTCTTTGCTGTAGGTCCTCCAGATGCCCCAAAAGATCCAGTAGCCTGTACAGAGGTGCCAGTCGTTACTACAGGCCCTCCAGATGAGCCATTAGATCCGGTAGCTTGTACAACAGAGGCAGTCGTTGCTGCAGGTCCTCCAGATTGGCCACTAGATCCAGAAGCTGGTATGGCAGAGCTAGTCGTTGCTCTAGATCTAGTTGCTGGTACGGCAGAACCACTAGATCCAGTAGCTGGTACAGCAGAGCCAGTCGTTGCTCCAGATCCTACAGAGGGGCCATTAGCTCCAGTAGCTGGTACGGCAGCGCCAGTCGTTGCTCCAGCTCCTACAGATGGGCCAATAGATCCAGTTGATGCCTTTTTGGTTGAAACAGCTGGCAGTTTTTTTGTTGTTTTCAGAAGTGATGTTATGTTACTTGGCAACGATGGCTTTGACGGTGTTTTACTTGGAACGGATGGCAGTTTAGGTGTTGTTTTCAGAAGCGAAGTTATGTTACTTGGCAACGTTGGTAATGACGGTGTCTTACTTGAAACGGTTGGTAATTTTGGTGTTGTTTTCAGAATAGAAGTTATGTTACTTGGCAACGTTGGTATTGACGGTGTTTTACTTGAAACGGATGGCATTTTAGGTGTTGTTTTCAGAAGCGAAGTAATGTTACTTGGCAACGTTGTTATTGACGGTGTTTTACTTGAAACGGATGGCATTTTAGGTGTTGTTTTCAGAAGCGAAGTAATGTTACTTGGCAACGTTGGTATTGACGGTGTTTTACTTGAAACGGATGGCATTTTAGGTGTTGTTTTCAGAAGCGAAGTTATGTTATTCGGCAAGGTTGGTAATGACGGTGTCTTACTTGAAACGGTTGGTAATTTAGGTGTTGTTTTCAGAAGCGAAGTTATGTTATTCGGCACGGTTGGTAATGACGGTCTCTTACTTGAAACGGATGGCATTTTAGGTGTTGTTTTCAGAAGCGAAGTTATGTTATTCGGCAAGGTTGGTATTGACGGTGTTTTACTTGAAACGGATGGCATTTTAGGTGTTGTTTTCAGAAGCGAAGTTAGGTTATTCGGCAAGGTTGGTAATGATGGCGTCTTACTTGAAACGGTTGGTAATTTAGGTGTTGTTTTCAGAAGCGAAGTTATGTTATTCGGCAAAGTTGGTAATGACGGTGTTTTACTTGAAACGGATGGCATTTTAGGTGTTGTTTTCAGAAGCGAAGTTAGGTTATTCGGCAAGGTTGGTAATGATGGCGTCTTACTTGAAAAGGTTGGTAATTTAGGTGTTGTTTTCAGAAGCGAAGTTATGTTATTCGGCAAGGTTGGTAATGACGGTGTTTTACTTGAAACGGATGGCATTTTAGGTGTTGTTTTCAGAAGCGAAGTTTTGTTACTTGGCAACGTTGGCATTGACGGTCTTTTACTTGAAACGGATGACATTTTAGGTGTTGTTTTCAGAAGCGAAGTTATGTTATTCGGCAAGGTTGGCAATGACGGTGTCTTACTTGAAACGGTTGGTAATTTAGGTGTTGTTTTCAGAAGAGAAGTTATGTTACTTGGTAACGTTGCCATTGATTTTGATTTTGTTGAAACAGTGGGTAACTTTGGTGTTGTTTTCAGAAGGGATGTTATGTTACTTGGCAACGTTGATATTGACGGTGTTTTACTTGAAACGGATGGCATTTTAGGTGTTGTTTTCAGAAGCGAAGTTATGTTATTCGGCAAGGTTGGTAATGACGGTGTTTTACTTGAAACAGATGGCATTTTAGGTGTTGTTTTCAGAAGCGAAGTTATGTTACTTGGCAACGTTGGTATTGACGGTGTCTTACGTGAAACGGTTGGTAATTTAGATGTTGTTTTCAGAGGAGAAGTTATGTTACTTGGCAACGTTGCCATTGATTTTGATTTTGTTGAAACAGCGGGTAACTTTGGTGTTGTTTTCAGAAGGGATGTTAAGTTACTTGGCAACGTTGGTATCGAAGGTGTTTGACTTGAAACGGATGGTATTTTAGGTGTTGCTGTCAGGAGAGAAGTTATGTTACTCGGCAACGTTGCCATTGACTTTGACTTTGTTGAAACAGCGGGTAGCTTTGGTGTTGTTTTAAGAGGGTATGTTATGCTACTTAGCAAAATTGATTTTGACGCTGTTTGGAATGAAGCGGACGGTACTTTGAGTGTTGTTTTCACATGGGTTGTTATGTTATTTAGCAGTGCAGTTACTGAGGCTGTTTTATTCGAAATGGCTGTTAATTTAGGAGTTGGTTTCAGAAGTGTTGTAAAATTATTCGAAATGGCTGTTAATTTAGGTGTTGTTTTCATAAGTGTTGTTATGTTATACGGCAACGACGGTGTTGAAGCTGTTTTAGTTGAAACGACTGGTAGTGTAGGTGTTGTTTTCTGAAGGGATGTGATGTTTTTTGGCAATATCGCTTTTGACACTGTTTTAGTTGAAACGTTTGGTTGCTTGGGAGTTGTTTTCAAAAGTGAGGTCATGTTAATCGGCAATGTTGGTTGCGACGCTGTTTGTGTTGAAACGACCGGTAGTTTAGGTGTTGTTGTCAGAAGGGATGTTTTTTTATTTGGCAATGTTGATTTTGATGCGGTGTTAGTTGGTGCGTTCAAAGTTGTGCTTCTAGTTATTGTTGAGCTTGCTCGGCTTACTACCAATGTGGTCGATTGAGTTGAGGACTGTATCGATGAGTTGGATGAGGAATTAACAGTTGTAAGCGGAGTAGTTGTTTTCGGACAATTTGGGACTTTAGATTGGCCTGTTTTTGTGTCACAAATTTGATATCCAACAGCTACAGAGTCTTCGTCCATTTGTTTGAGACTGTCATACTTTCTCCAGTTTGTGGGTCGACTAGCTATTAGCTTCAGGTCCGCTTCAGCCGCAGTCTGAGATACCCCAATTGCGAACACTTCTATATTCAGTTTGTGTAGTGCATCCACCTCTGTTTTCAGTGCCGAGGGGTCACTTGCTCTGCCGTCGGTCACAACAATAACTGACGACTGCACTCCTGTCGTGCCGTACCGGCTGTTTCTGCCCGTGTCAATCATTTCGCGCGCTAAAAATCCAATAGGTCATTCAATTTGACTTTCGGCTCATCACAGCAATATCCGCAAAAACTAACCACAATCATGTAAACCACCCCCCCCCCCCCCCCACACCCCAGACTTCAGAATCGATTTAAGGGCGAGGGTGAGAAAATTCGAATGGTCAAAAAAGAGTTCTTAGGATCCCTTTTCAAATATCTATTTTTTCACTATCTACACTAGCGCGGAGGACGTTCAAAAATCCCGAAATACAAAACTGCTGAAGTACGTACAGCAGCAACGAAACTTAAAAAAAAAGCTCAGCAGTGCTGAAAACTGATTTTTGGCAGTGTTGAATATCAATTTTTTTCGGCGCGTTGTACTTCGACACTGTTGAACAGCAACGACATTTCGGCACTGTTGTACTGCGGCGCTGTTGTACTGCTCTTAGAGGGCCATTCAACAGTGCCGATAAGAAAATTGTCGAACAGTGCTGTAGTCACCACATTTTGGCACTGTCGAACTCTTTTTTATTCCGCACGGTTCTTGTACTTGGCACTGTATAATATAAATAAGTGCGGTCATAAATGCATCAATATGTCTGAATGCACACCTGTAGTTATTAGAGACTTTCATGCACATTTTAAGACTTTTTCCTGAAAAAAAAATCAGCGAGACCTTCATTACAATTAATCAAAATATGATTAAAACTACGTTCATTACACTATATCAGAATTGCCAATCAAAACACTTCCAAATCGAGAGTCTACAGAAAACAGCTACTTGTTTGTCAAAAATGCTAAATATGGTCCCTAAATGACCCCAAATAAAATCCAAATTGAAATGGGTGAGATCTGCCCCGTAATATATGACTTATATTTCCTACTATATTCGGTAGTGTGACCCAGGAGCGGATTTAGGAGGGAGGGGGGCGGACGCCTTTTTCTTCAGGGATTCGACCCCCCGCCGACCCAAAGGGTCTCACCTTTGGTACTTTTTAAGAAACCCATTTTCGGTCGACCGACCCAATATATACTAACGTTGCGGGGAAGCGCACGCCAAAAATTTTTTCCAAAAAGTGCCCAAAAACGTCTTTTTAGTGTTTTAGGAGAGCTAGGAAAATCAATTTGGTCGACCTAAAAAAAGTATCGTCAAAATTTCATAAATTTTTTGAAAATCCAACCCCCCCCCCCCCGTCGAGAAAATCCTAAATCCGCCCCTGGTGTGATTTCATTTTTATCATAGTATACTGGCCATTCTATTTTTGGTCAGCCGCGCTGCGACTCATTTTTCATGAACATAGCTCACGCAAAAGATAGCAATTTACGTTCGGAAAAAAAATCTTTTTTGATGTTGTCAAAACATACCTAGTGCGTTTTTTTTACATATTTCATTATTTTTAAATTCATTAAAAATTTATTTTAACAAGTTCTTCGCTATTTAAGACCACTAGAGCTGTAAAAACAACAATGATTTGGTAAAAAAAATGGTAACATTACCCTTTTCGCCTCGGTTAAAATTGGCACTCATTAAACAGTTAAGCTCATGGAGCCTAAAAATAAAAGGAAAAGCTGAACCTTTTTTCAAAGCTTTGTGCGTGTTTCTCTGTCCTTTCTTCTGTTTGGTTCTGTCCAATAAATTATCCTGTGTGAATAAGTCAAAGTCTCCGGTTTCGAAATCGACCACTGTGTTTACATTGGTGGAGAACCAAATGGCTGCAAAGTAGCTCTGTTGCTGCTCAACCGCGTCTTCGAAGTATTCTGCGATGTGGGAAATCCCAACTGAGTTCTTTTTGTAGTCACTGAAACAGTCACCTCTTTTACTGTTACCGACCAAATTGATATGTTTTGGTGTTTGACAATTGTATGATCAAAAGTTGACCTGATTGGCTTAATTTACTTACAACGCAATGAAA